ATAATAATAATAATAATAATAATAATAATAATAATAATAATAATAATGGTAACGATAATAATAGTAATAGTAATAATAATGATAACAATAATATTAATGACAACAAATTGCAAGACAAAATTACAATAACGATAATAACAGTAATAATAATGGTCACAGTAAAATTAATAATAGTTATACTAACAGAAATAATAACGATATAAAAATTTCAAGTGAAATGTAGCAAGAATGCGAACAGATGCATGGGGGGAAGAATACGGTTCAAAAAAGAGCAAATTATCCTCGAAATTAAGATAGAAATCAAATTACCGGCAAACCAATTTTACTCATCAATGCATCCCATTTGCTGACTATCAGGCCCGGTGGTGCCTGCATTTTCGGCGTACTCGCTGCCTCCGAGAAGTTCTCGAGATCCTGAAAAAAAAAGGAGCAATACCCTACCGTGTATCACACACACACACACACACACACACACATAGAGAGAGTTCAAAATCGTACAACATCAACCAAAAAAAAGAGTAGAAAGGGTTCCATACCTCAGCTATCGGACCAGCTGCAGTTGCCACCTTTTCGCCACCCCTTTCAACGAACCCACCGCCGCTCTTCCCATGCCATTCGCTTAGCAGACGCAGTGTGTCGATCTAAGAATTAAAAAAAATAATAAAAACGATAGAAAAAGGAGTACCAATGATTCTGGCCTGTCCTTTAAAATAAAATATATCGACGATGTACTAGTGTTACTAAATTACTATTCTATACTATTAATGTTATTATGGCCTTATTGTCATTGCCATTATCATTATTACTGTTGTCATTATTACTATTGTTATCGCTATCATTATTATTACTCTTAGTATCATTACCATCACTGTCGCCATTATTATCATTATCATTACTACTGTTATTACTATTGTCATTACTATTATCATTATTATTACTAATGCCATAACTGACTTTTTCGTCATGATTATTATCATTACTATCATTCTGCCCGTATTTTCATTTTTACTATATCACTTTCAAAAGACCTGTAGAAGAGGCCGGTACGCAATCAGACGATGGCGGACAACTCCGGACAGGGCAATCACATCGGATCCAAAACGGCGGCGGCTCGCTTGATGCATGTACAACTGATGGTGCTTGGCCGCGATGCGGCGCACATGCACTCCAACGACACTGGCGGCTGCTGATGGAGCGAACATTACACCATTCCAGCGTTGCCCCTTCCTGCAACACAACCAATTGTGTACAAAGCCTCTGTGCGCTGACTTCTTCTTCAAAAGTCCCTGAAGTCCCGAGAGTCACCGTTCGCGAGAAATTTTCAGCAGCCTATTTCTGAAAAGATCCAATTTTAACTGCCTGGATCGCATCAGACGCGACTAAAGGCATAGGCAGACCAAGGACGAAATCCTGGTGCGAGACTCCTGCGGAGGCGGAGGGGGAGAGGCGACGGGGTTTGGGGAGGAAAGTCCCATCCCAAACTGGAACTATGCAAAAACTAGGAATAGAGTTGTAACACACTGCTACTTAGAGTTACTTTAGACTTTGGTTTACTTCACTTTTAGCTTTAGACCCAGACTTTTGCAGCACTGGTGCTTGGGGCGCTGGATTCGCCTCTATGAGGGGAGAGCAGAGCGAACAAAGGGCATCCAGACCCGCTGATTCCACACATCGGAAGAGGACCGCCACTCACGAACCACTCCCAGCTTTTCCGGACCATCTTCTGCGGGATTCATAAAGCTGAGCCTCTGCCGTTTCTCGCAGGACCGGTTTCTCC